TGCATGCTGGGCGTGGTAAGGCTAAAAGCAATATTCTTAAGTACTCTAGTATAGCAGGTAGCATTCTAGGTCTCAATTTTGCGAATTGCAATTGGCGCTAGCCGACGGATCGCGAAGTGTTATCCGATGGACAAAACACACAGAGAATCTATATTGTTGATTACTTCATCCAAGCTTTGTACAGCTGGAACTAGTGCTATTTCAAATTATTTGCATTTGGGAGAATGTTGCATCTGTTCACAAACTTAATGTAAAAATCTAGTTTTAAATGAGCTTAGTTCGATAGGTTTGAATCAMAGTCAAACATACGGCAATGATTTGAACTTTTAGAAAACTTAAAGAAAGTACGTGAGATGATGAATAGAGACGGAATTGGGAAGAAAATCTATGGCACAATTATAAACATTATATTATATGATATATACTAATCGCTGAATTTTATCTTTTGCTTTCTTTCTCAGTTTTTCGTCCTTTTATTCATTCTCCTTGGCCTTGAGGTTGCAGCCGCAGTTTTGGGATATAGGAACAAGGAAAAGGTAATGTTTTATTATTGTTAATAGTTGTTGTTTTGGCCATGCTTTCCTTTGTGCGCGTGTTTTCCTTTTCATCTTCTTATTCTTTCTTTTTTTTCTTCACGAAGTCACTGGAAAAAATCGTTCACTTTCAAAGATTGTAAATTTGATGTAAATATTTTGTAAGTGTCCAAAATGATGTAAATTTGATGTAAATTTGATGCTTAAATTTGATGTAAATTTACATCAAATTTACATCATTTTGGACACTTACATAATATTTACATCAAAATTTACAACCTTTAAAGCGCGCGATTTTTTCCAGTGAGTGCTGATACTTTTTAAATAATCTTTGTGAAGAATGCATTTATCAAGAAGTAATTCGTTATATTTGAGAATCTTTGAGTTTTGATATACCATGGCGGCATTGAGCCGTAACTGTTTTGAATTTGTGACATGAGATTGATTGGGAAATGTTTTTTAGCGATTCTTAAGAATACAATAATATCTATCTCAACTCTTTCAACCAATTTTGATAAGAGTAACACAACAGAGTTATAATATCTTTTTCAGATCGAGTCTGACTTGAAATCAGACTTAGAAAAGGCAATCAAGGATTACCCTGACAAGAACAAGAAGGCCCTGGACGATCTCCAAAAAGATGTAAGTCTACTAGTCACTTTTCTATCATGGTGGGAACTAGCGTTAAACTAGTATCAGCTGCGTCGGTATTTCCACTGGAAAAATTCGCGCGCTTTAAAGGTTGTAAATTAGATGTAAATATGATGTAAGTGTTCAAAATTCTGTAAATTTGATGTAAATGATTTCCATTAAATTTACAGAATTTTGGACACTTACATCATATTTACATCAAATTTACAACCTTTAAAGCGCGCGATCTTTTCCAGTGCTAAGAAATAGTTGTGTAAAAAGGATAAATTTGACACCGTAAAAAGTAGGTGAAACAACTTACTGACATTTCGGACGTTAATCCTTCGTCTTTCTCTTTACTCCGACGAAGGACTGATTAACGTCCGACATGTCAGTAAGTTGTTTACCTACTTTTTTCGGTGTCAAATCAAATTTATATCTTTTACACCACTATATTATCATGTTTCTTCATTTTTTCCCTTTACCATGCTTCTCTGTGTGTGTTCTTCTAGGACCACTATTTGTTTTTCGCCACATACACTTTCCGCGAGGCAACTATCACAGCATAATGCTTTCAATTGCACTATATTGTTGAAATAGTAATACAGCTAAGAAAAACCTTCCTTTGCAGCTTAAATGTTGTGGAGCGAACGGYTTCAAGGACTACATCCTTAAAGGACTAAAATTTCCACCAGACTCGTGTAAATGCAGCGACACAAGCAAAGAATATTGCAGCGGAATTTTGGCTGCGAAATACTATAACAAGGTAGAAAAACATTAGTRCATATTTGCACATTGTGGTAATAGCCGACTTTAGATATTTTGGTTCAGTGACCATGCACAAAAGAATTGTAGACGAGGCTCGACTCCGGGGAAATAAAACAATAAATCAAGATTATCCATTGTTTTTCCGTGTGCGTTCTTTTGTTTAAAGTCATCGAACCAAAATATCTAAAGCTGAYTACTGTTATCATAGTATTCAAAATATATTTTGACTGGATGATTATGTTGTGTGAACAACCATGCATGGGAATGTAGCTTAATATAAGTGAAGACCTCATACCCTTCATAATTCTCCATAACTAGACTATTCATGGTAAAACAGAACCGGTTGGCTAGTTTCTTCAGTACCGGTTCCCCGGATACATCGATCCCGTAGGCCCCTGTTTRCGTTTGATAGGGGATAGGGTGTCTTAGCAGTAGAGTCAAACTCTTTCGTTATAAATCCTCAAGGAAAAGGATACAAACGAGTTTACCTCTGCCTACACTACCTGGGGGCATTTTATTTCATCTAAATATAACCTCACTCTGCKAATGTTTTCAGGGCTGCATTGATGGTTTCAAGAAGTTTATCAATGACAAGCTTGTGATCATTGGAATACTAGCAATTGTTTTGCTTGTCATTCAGGTCAGTAGTTAAAGCTCCGCGTGGTTCAATGCTCTGTTTTAGTATCCAAGCGTCCTCAAAGCCTTTCCCCCTCTCATTAATAAGTCCAACCTCCCTCCCTCCTCCTCCCTCCCTCTCTCTTTCACCCTTTGCCCCACTTTCCTTCAGTCATTYCTCTTTCTTGTAACTAGTATTCTTGAAAAACTACAAAATTTCTTTACAGATCCTTGGAATGGTCTTTGCCATGTGTCTCATCTGTAGGATTCATAAAGGACAATATGCATAGATGAATAACACCAAGCACACTAATTAATGTTAAATGGATAGCTGCTTACATAGTCTTTTCTTTCTGAAATAGCTTTACGCATTGTGGTCTTGATTTGGAAAACACCTTTTGTTTATGTGGCCAAGTATCGTTTTTATTAACGAAGCTACACCACAATGAGCCATGATTGTGCATTTCAGAAAAGATATATCGCAGTTTGTATTATTTGTAGGTGTGTCACGTAATTYTACTGGATTCATGTTTCCTAGCGATCTCTCAGATCGACCAAATGTTTTTTAGATTTCATTTTACACTTCCTAACGCCATCTTGAAAGAGCCGAGAATTTGCATCACAGCGAGAATATGATTCGCCAAAGATACCAGATGCCTGCTAAATGATTGCTAAACTCGATTTGACTGTCAGAACAGAGACTTTTTTCGTACCTTTGCATTGAGTACAATCACATCATATACGAAAATGATATCATTTGTAATAAGAATCTCAGGTACTGGTCGTAACGAATGACTAGAAAGCTAAAATTTAGTTAAAGACCAGGATTCTGTTGTAAACTTGAAAAAAAATTATCATAACCGGGGAAATCTTTACAAAAAGATAAAATGTCAAGGTTCGGTTGCTTTTCAAGATGACGAAGTGGATTGTAAAATGTAGAGTGTTATAAACGTTAATTGAAATGGTATACATCTATAACACGATAAAAACCTCTGTCATGTATTTACTAGAATGACTAACACAAACAAGATGGCGTTGACTCGGTGTTTATTCGCACGTGTTACACTTTACATGCGTGCGCATGTTACACAGGTAATCCGTAACATTCCTCCCCACTATTGTCTTTCAGTCTACATTGACATAACATGTTGAATAAAAAATAACAATATAACAACAAGGTTTTCTGTCCTGTTACAATAACATAGCTATAAGTTCATAAGTCAAGTTTTTGTGGTGCTTTGCGCTCCCTCTGTGGATAACGTCGTTCAACGGGTGTTGCTGCTTGCGCAGGTGTTGGTGTCCTAGCAGGACTGTTGATGATAACGGATTGCTCCGCTCTCATTTCCTGTGAGTTTGCTTCAGTCGGCAGGTTTTCCATTGGAGCTGGGACTCCAGGGTCTGGAACTGCTTTCGCTGTGTCGAAATGCTCGCTGATGTCACTGTCTTGTGGAACTCTCTGTTGAACCATTGTTGGAAGGAGTTGGTCAATGTGTCGGCGCCAAATCAGATTTGGAGAGACTTGGACTTTGTACATAAGAGGGCCTGTCTTCTCAATAACTTGGCCTTGACGCCACTTGTAATCTCCTCTGTAATCACGAGCCATGACAGTATCTCCAAGTGCAATTTGTCTAGCTGGAGTTGCATTATGAAGGGCTGACTGCATGCTTTGCTCATGTTGCTTGTTCAACATTTTCCGGTTCCTGTTAGGTTTGACTAGGTCCAAACGAGTACGTAACGGTCTTCCGAGCATCATTTGCGCTGGACTCTCTCCTGTGGTTAAATGGGGAGTGTTCCTATAATTGATGAGAAACTTTGCTAACTTCTCCTTCAGCGGTGAAGAGCTTCCTTCCATAGATTTCAAAGCTTGTTTGAAAGTTTGAACTGACCTCTCAGCCAATCCATTCGTAGCAGGATGGTACGGAGCCGAGGTGATGTGTCTTATTCCATTGGACTTCATGAAGGTCTGGAATTCGTCTGACACAAACTGCGGACCGTTGTCACTTACAAGTTGTTCTGGAATTCCAAAACGAGCAAACAGGTTTCTCAGGACTTCGATGGTCTTTGATGATGTAGTTGACTTCATTGGAATAACTTCTGGCCATTTGCTGTGAGCATCCACAACTACGAAGAACATAGAATCTTTGAATGGGCCAGCAAAATCAATGTGTATGCGTTGCCATGGGAAGGTCGCCCATTCCCACGGGTGTAGCGGTACTTTGCTTGGCATCTTTTGATTCTGTTGACAACCAGAGCAAGACTTAGCTACCATTTCCAGCTGTTGATTGATGTTTGGCCACCACACATAGCTTCTCGCTAAAGCTTTCATTTT